CTTTTGGGTGTATAAGACCATACACTTGGCCCAAATAAATCTATTTTTTCACTTAAGGTCATTTGAGGATCTGTTCCTCAGGGGTCAAATAGGCTTGGGAGGAACACCTAGGTCCTTTCTTTTACCAGTTCCATCTATGTGAAGATAAGTCAAAGGTCCTGCTTGACCATGTCTGGCTTCACTTGGAAGCATGAATGAGATGTTTTCTCTGAGTTGACCTTCCTCTTTGTAGACTGGATACTAGTTCAAGTACATCTCATGGGGTATCCATGTCCTCCCTGAACAAGAGGACAGGTGACTTACCACAGTTTCAGGATATTTTGAGAGATGTTCCATAGTCCCCTGGAACTTAGTCGACCTTGTAGGGCAAGGGGCAAAAACTGTCCTTTAAGTCCCTCTGACCACATTAGTATAGGCCTCAAACAATGGCTGTTAAACATCCAATAAAGTTAGTTCCACCAGTCTGCTCCTTTATTTATTATGTGCTATACAGATAAGGCTTGGGTAAAAAACCAAATATTCTCAGATAGACCTTGACTAGATTTTGTTCCTTAAACTAGTTGACTAAACTGTGACCACAGAAATTTTATGATTATGTGTGTATTATTTTTGTCTCATCCTTTATATATCATAACAAACCTACACAGACCTTCATCACTTGCTTAGGCTTTCTCATTTATTTTTCTGTCTATTTTGGAAAATATCTCCATTCCCATATCCTTTTAACATCTTTTACATTCTCATTTTCTTTTTTTAAAAAATAATTATGAGACATAATAACATTAACAAATAAATTTTCCATCTGTTGTGAGACTTTTCCCACGGATGCTAAGCAATGCTTATTCCCTTTCAAGGTTCCACTGTCAAGCCAATATTTGATTAAAGTTTCACTGGGGAAATTTATGTAACTTATGAACTGAGATAACTGAGGGATTGCTGAAGTATATTTATGAACTGAGGTTATGGACACTGGAAAGCCTTTACCCAGCATGGGTCATGCCTTCTCTTCCTAGCCTTCCTCAGATTGTATACTTTAGCTCTCCCCAAATCCAGGAGGCCATGTGTGATTAGGGTCAAATTACATTTAGTTGGCTGGGAAGAATGGCTGGATAATCCGATGAGGGGCCAATGACCCTGTTTGGCCCTCCTTTAATGAATGAGCACAACCGTCAACAAGCCCAATTGTGACTATGTTTAGCAATCAAGCTCAGCTAAAGTCCAGATGACTGTAGTTTTTAATGCAGAAGGGACTGCTGTATAGCATCATCTTATTAAAAGGACCTGGAATTTAAAAGGATTTGGTGCTAGGATCCACATATGAGGGAG